AAAAAAAAAAAAAAAAAAAAAAAAAAAAAAAAAAAAAAAAAAAAATTTTTGCCAAGCCATCACCAACTCCTCTCCCTGACATCACAGCATCCCACCGGGAGACACTCGGGATCTCCACGAGCGGGCCCAGGGGAGTCCCTCCTCTAGCACCCCACGAAAAAGCCCTCGCCACGCAAGCGCCGGATCGAAACAGCACAGCCCTAACCGCCGCGAGCCTGATGGGGCCAGGCACGGCTTTCAAGGAGCCACAGGCTCCCTTCGGCCCCATGGCCGGATCCCTTTCCAGCCGGGTCCGTTACCCTACAGCTTCCCACAGACCGGGAGGCGATCGCACCAGGAAAATAGGACAGCAGGCACAGGGAGGGGAAAGGAAAGGGAGGGGGAAACGGAAGAGAAAACCCCTTCCCCTCATGCGTCGGGGCATAAGGGGGGTCCCAGCCCCGGGAGCGGTACCCCACGGCGCGGGCGCGCAGTGCCAGCCCCCCCTGACCCGCGGAGCCTCGTCACCCGGAGACTTACCTGACATTAATTAGATACTGGGCCAAGCTAATGCTCGCTGCAGATCCAGTTATGGTAACCTGCCTGTCAGTAGATCCTTCCACTGGATTGGCAATTTTGATCTGCGCCCCAGACATCTGGCGGATCTCATTGATTTTGGCGCCCTGACGCCCGATGATGCAGCCAATCAACTGGGGGAGGGAGAAAGTGGCTTCATTAGCAGCGGGTAAGAGCCAAGGGCTCCTCCTCCTCCTCCCCTGTCATGTGTTTGTCCACCACAGGGTCAGGGCTGGCACCTCCTGGGGGAGTTTAAGGGGCAGAAAAAGGCATTTTCTGCCTTAAAGCTGGCTGGAAGGGGAAGAAGGGATGTGGTGCCAGCGGAATGATCCGAGGAGGCGGTTTGGGGTGCAGCCGCAAGCCCTCCCGCAGCTCTGAAGCCGAGAACGGGCAACCCCACACCCCATTTTATTAGGAGAAAGAGGGGCAAGATCCCAGTGACCCACAGGGCCAAGGGGGCAGCTGCCTGCCCGCTGCCCACCACCCTCCCTCCCCGACGTGGGCTGGAAAGGACGGATCCCATGCGGATACTCACATCATTTGGAATGGTGAGTTCGTGAGAGGTGGTTTGAGCGGAGGCATCCAAACCTGCTTAGAGACAGAGAAAAAGCGGGAGAAGGTCAGGGGGAGGCGGTGGGACGGAGGGGCGCAGCACAGACAGACCGCAGCAGTCAAGCCAGCATTTGCTGCCAGCTTCATGGCTACCTTGAAGACGGTTTAAAACAGGAGGGGAAGGGCAGAGCAAGCTGTGAGGTTACTCCAACCCTCCCCGCTGCTCCCCACCTCCCTTCCCGCTCGCCTGCTTTCCCCCCCTCGGTCACCCCAATTTCTCTCCCCCTTGTCCCCCTCCCCGCGATGTCACCACAGGATCTTCCGTCCGGTCAGGACAGTCCCAGAGCAGCGCACTCTCACTGCGGGAGCTCCATTCGGGCACTCGGCTCCGCTGCCCGCTCCGTTACCAGCTTCGAAGGGCTACGCTACCCCCCTCCTCCTCCTCGCCGCCACGGCCCGGCAGGGCAGTGCTACGCCGGCCGGCACGGGCGCTGCGAGGCTGCTCATGTCTCGGATGGGGCCAAGCACGTGCGCTAAGTGGATTTTTTTTTTTTAGGTTTTTAAATTTCCCCCCCCCCTTCCCCAGCTCGCTCCCTGATACAGGGAGCGGTGGGAGCCTCAAGACCTCACCCCAGGGCTTTGGCAGGGGCGAAGCAGCCTGGGGACGCACCGGCGGCCGAGGCGGTTAACGCGGTGCTGTCACCCCCTTCGCCAGCAGTTCTGCCACCGGCAGCAAGCGGGGGCTCGGCTGCTGCAGGCGATCTGCTCCAGCAACTCCTCGGGCAGAGGGAATCGCTCCCCCCTCCCCAGCGCATGGTTGGGGGGTAAAGCAAGGGGGCCCAAGGCTCGCTAACAGCGTCAGGCGCTGGACGATCGAGCCCTTCAACAAGTCCTGCTGCTCTCCACTGTCCAGCTGACTTCTTCTGGGGCACGTACAACCAAGCCAGTCGGTACCTCCAGCCCTTCTAAGGCTCCCCTTGACCCCCCCTTTCCCCTCCCATCCGTGCACAAAGGCGGGCAGCATTTAACAGGGAGAACGAGACCCCGGTCAGTATTAATACACAATAGAATAACTACAGATTTTGTTTTTTAATCATTACCCCAATAGCCTTTCACCTCTGGAGAGCTGGATTCAATGCCTGTTAAGATACAAGTGACAATGAGTTTGGCTGTCTCAGGTTTAGAGCCCCAAATGGATATTTTAGCCATCTTAGCAAATCTACAGCAAATTTGGTACAACTCAACAGTTGCCTGCTCAGGACTGGAGTAGCCGGAGGGGAGAGAGAGGGTGCTGCGGGTCGGGGGCTCTCCCGGTGCATTGGCAGAGCTGTGGAGGATGGGGGTGAAAAGGAAGGAAAGCAGCATGGAGGCCCTGCATGCTTGGTGGCTTGTTTTTTTCTCTACCCTCTGCGGCCCCCCGCGACTCGCAGAGGCCGGTACCAAGTCGCCCCCAGAGACGTCGCGACAAAAAAAATCATTACCTGGTCGGGCTCGGCTCTGGGGGAATGTTTGGTTTGGTTTTGTTTGAGAGCGCGAGACCCAAGCGGAGGCCCCGTTAGAGAGGAGCCAAGCGGCGGCTCGCGGGCTGGCCTTTGGCCCACGCTAGCGTACAGAAGAGAGAAGGAGTTTCCATACCACTGAATCCAGTGTTGCCATGAGACATTGGAAAGTGTGACTGTTGCATTGCCAACTGGTGCAGCTTGGTCAGCTAGAGGGGGGAAAAAAAAAAGAGAAAGAAAAAGGCTGATGTTAGCCATTTCCCAAGCCCAAGGGGGGCCAGGACTCACACAGCACGCACATCAACACAGACACTGCCAGTGGCACCGGGTCCCCCCCGGCCCCTCTGTACCCGGCACGGCCCTCTCCGCACGGAGAGGAGGAAGGCACCAGGCCAAGGTGGGCTGCGCCCACCCCCTGGTGAAGCGAGGTATGAAAGGAGCTCAGGGAGAGAAGCAGAGAGGAGCAGGAGAGACAAGACGGTGGGGTGCTCACACCACACCATGCAGGGAGCAGCAGCGGGGGGACAGGGGTGCCACGAAGGGAGATGGGGATGGAGCCCGGCTCAGTTCAGCCCCCGGAGTAGCTCTTAGCCCAGCTTCCTCCTAGCCCTTCTCCTCCCTGGCCTGGCGCGTCAGAGCCCCCCCCTCACTGCTCTAAGGGTACCAAGAGCACGGATCGGCCCCTGCCGAGCCTGCAACGAGCCTACGGGATGAGCATGGGTGCCAGAGGATGGTGGTGTCCGACAGCAAGCCGGGACAGCGCCCACGGGAGAGGCGGCCGCTGCCTGGACTGTCACTCCTCTCCCAAACGGTCCCCGACAGGCTGGCAGCAGCCTGGGCCGGGCCGGATCCAACACCTCCCCCTCCCCAACTGCCACCTGCGACCGCTCGCTGGGCCAGCTGTCCCCTGCCCCAGGAGAACCACCGTGACAGTGAACCATCATGTGCTGTTTTTGTTTTCTCTTGATGGGCTGCGTGCCAAATTCAAGAGGCAGGAGGGGGCAAGGGAAAAGCCAGAGCTGGTGTGAAATGCCAAGCCAGGGAGAGGTGGGTCGGAGAAAAAAAAAAAAAAAAAAAAATATATATAGGAGGAGGGAAGTGTCAGAAAGAAGGCGGGGAAGGAAAAAGGAGAGATCTGAGACCGGGTGAAGCTGGCTGCAGGAGGGCGAATTGGAGGGATGTGAGTTTTTTGGGGGGGAGTTCGGATTGAGTATTCAGGCCAAGCTGACGGCTAGCGGCTTGAGTCGAGAAAGCACGGAGAAAATTTTGGAAGGGGGGAGGAAGAGGGTGGATTTCAAGACAAGAAGTTGTAAACAAAACTTACATCTGGCTGTGGAATGGCATACTGTCCTTGAATGGTATAGGCCTACAAAAGGAGGAAAACAGTCCTATTAACAACCATCGGACAGCCACCCAGGGACAGACAGATTTCAACTAGCCAGGAAGTCAGAGAGCCAAGGTGGAGAGTTCTCCGGGGCGAGGGAAGTGGGGCAGGGAGAGGCAGGGGACGGATAAATGCTGTAACAAGCAGTTTCTAGACGGGCGGTTACTTGAATTGGCCTTACGTGGCGGTTACAGGGAGGGAGTGGACAGTATGGCGCCGTCCCCCCCAAAAAAAAAAGTGGCAGACAAAAACAGAACGGCTGGGATCTTGATGAAGATGTATGGTGTGGTGGAGTCCGACAATGCTTCTAGCCCTGCGCCCCCCGCCTCGCCGACAGGGGAAGATCTCCAACGCCCCCGCCAGCCCTGCTAGCTCCCGGCCCCTCCTCTCCCCGGCCCAGCAGCCCCCCCCAAAAAAAAAAGTCCCGTTTCCGAGTCCTCTCGTCACTTCCGCACGCCTAGGAAAACGTCACCGGGCAAGCTAGAGGTAAATGCTGGAGCTGGCTACCGATGCTAGACAAGGCAAA